GAGGCATGTCCATGTCATAATACTATCTGGCAGCAAACGACAAAACAGTACCAACGATTCCTGGGAAATGGCACAACCGAACTAAACCTGGACAACCTCTAATAACAAAAGGGAAAATCGAATGAATATAAATGAAAGAATCATTCATTCTGCAAGACGATCATAACAAATTAACCTCCACTAATCCAGGCAGCAACTATTGATCTGTACTCGAAAATAAGCGTAAGAATAATAGAACAAAGATTTGTCTAACATAATGAGGTTCTATAACAATGAACATTCAAACCATTTTGAATAAAATGAAACAGTGATTCAACTAATTTTCAGAATAAGATAAGTCATGGCGAAAATAAGACACTGATTCAAATTAGCAGTTCACTATTTCACATACAACAACTCAAAGCATTTTGATTCGTAACAAACAAGATAAAGGAGAAAAAGTAACAAAAATGTACCTCTTTTGGGGCAGCAAACAAGAGCTTTGACGTCAAGGATTCAAACTCCTTTCCCGAACTCAAATTGTTTTTCTCCCTATTTTTTTTTTATTGTTTTATGGATGTTCCTGGATCCTTTTTTTTTTCCGAATGAGGCAAAACACCTCTTATATAGGAGAAATCCGGACTTCAAAATCTGGATTTGAAACTCAAAATTATCAAAATCCATAGTGTAAAGCAAGGAACGAGTGAAATCTTTGAAAAGATCACCTTTTTCGGTTTCTCAGACTTGAAATCTGTTCTTGGGTTTTCTTTCCGATGTAAAAATAGGGGAAAAGATGGGATTATTGACGGCCGTGGTAGATAAAGGTAATGGAGGGGACTTAAAGTTTATAGGAGGAGGTTGAGGACCACCGGAAATTGCCATTTTCCGGCGGTCCATAGGCAATATTGCTAAGAAAAGTTGATGGGAGTGGGTGCCGCTATGAGGAGCGTCTGGGGAAGAGACGTTCTAGGGAAAGACAAGTCTGAAAATGGCGTACTAGTTTTTGGAAAAGAAGAAAACAATTTGGGATTTAATTTGGGCAGCCCGATCATTTGATCGGACGGTTGGTAAAAATAAAGAGTTTAAAATAAATAAATAATAATTATATATATAATAGTAAAAGGACGAATTAATTAAGGCCGTTAGATTAAATTGTAAGGCTGAGATCGAATCTAAAGAAGCACAATCCATGTGCTCGCCTACGTGGCATACACGGATTGGCCGGTTTAATAAGACTTGGATTGCCAAATTTGCTCAAATTGAATTCATTTAAATTATAACTACTTTCTTTATTAAATAGCCATAAGTGATAATTATTTTG